GCCAGCTAACTCATGTGCAAAGAAATGTATATTCCCTTTATGTGTTTGTTTTCATGGTGTGTGCATGTAATACGAGTTGAAAAACAACCATAACACCTCACAGCTTGGCCCAGTAGCCTGTTGGTTACAATGACAAGTCTTGCTAGGCTACCTTGCCACCAACGATGTTAACGTACACAAATGTGAAAAGAATGTTGCTGTATCTGTATATTGTATCTTCATTTTTATCAGGTATTTGTAGATTTAAAAATAAATGTTCCAAGTATGACATTAATAGATAATAATGGTTGTAAGAAATCAGAAATGGCTACTGCTTAGCTCTGAAGAGTTGGGTGTCTGCAGTACGGATGTTAATCGTCTCGGGTTATCATCCTCAGTACAGTAGTTATAAATCCAAATTTAATATTTACATTAATTATTTTTTTAATTAATTAAAAATAAAAATAATGTGTTTAAGTAACCCATAACATATTTTTTATTCTGGAGTTGGGGGAGGGGGGAATTACATGACCTCACAATGTACCCACAGAGGGCTACCTCACTTTATTTGGTGACCTGACAACAATAACCTCACAAAATATGATGGTTGAGGATGACCTTATCACGAGATCTGAGGTTGACGAGTTCCACACCAATTTAAATAATGAGTTACTTAGTGCACAAAGGCAGAACATACCATACAGAAAACTCAGATCGTTTGACTCCAAATAGATAAATAATTATTTAGAGAATATTATTGGACAAAGGAAGGCTATAGGTAGGAGAATAAATCGTGGTGGAGTTTACCTCCGAGATTGTTATAAGGTATTGGCCTGCAGGGTTAAGACCGAGATAAGAAAAGCAAAGAGGAATAATGAACTGAAGGCAACAAGGGAGGCAAAGTCGATCCCAAGGGTATTCTTTCAAATGTATCAAACTGAAACACGAGACAAGGTTGAACCAATACAATCGGATACCGGCGAGCTAACGTATAACTACAGAGAAATGAAAAATAATCTGAACAGATATTTTTCAACAGTTTTCACCACCAAAAATCTAAAAATACATTCAGAGATACTGAAGAAAATAGATTAAGTGAGATAGTAGTGACTAGTAATGATGTTAGTAAGCAAATAGACAAGCTAAAGCCTAATAAGTCACCAGGTCCCAATGAAATATTTGCCAGAGTATTAAAGGAATGTAAGGAAGATCAAATTTGTTTAACAAGTCATTAAAAACAGGTGTAGTACCATAATCCTGGAGGATAGCAAATGCAATACCGATTTTCAAGAAGGGAGATAGATCACTATCCTCTAACTACTTTGATAGGAGGCATACACACCCACCACAGTGGTCGTCACACGTCTGTGAGTTAACTGAGCTGGGTAATTACCTGAACTGTGTTGCTAGTTGGATGTGTGGGAGGTATGTGTGTGGAAGAACTTATTGTTTGTACATAAAGTAATGTATATTACACCAGTAAATGTGAGGAATAAATAAAAAAAATATAATAAATAAAAGAAATAAATACTGCGTTGCCATTTAGCAGGAGACAGTGCGAGAACAGAGCAATGAGTGAGGAAATGCCAACTGTAGCTCACTCTCTCCCACCCTCGGCGCTTGCTTCTACACACACATAATGATTAGTTCCCTTTTTATTTTTGACCTTATAAAAATTATTTTATAATTTTTTGGCACATACTGTGTGTGGTGCACATTTAAACTGAAACAAGCCTAACCAGCTAAGTTGCCAGATGCACTATTAACAGGTACTTTATGTGATTTAGGGGTTTTCAGGGGTAATTTTAACTACAGGTACATGTGTTTGGCTTTACTCACCCTCTTTGGAACGTACTGTAAGCCCTGCGTAATATGTGACATGACTATACTGCAGGATTATGCTCACACCAAAATATTTATTGGTGATTTTTTTGGATGTGCATTATTAATTTGTCTTTTGTATTTACGAAAAATGTGTCAATGCATTTTGTTCACACGTCATGACTTCCCAGTGCAGTAGTGTGCCTGTGGGATATAAAAAATGTTAAAACTTTCATAGTGTTTGTAGACACACACACACACACACACACACACACACACACATGTGCTCTTCCCTTTATGTATATGTAAGTTTGTAACTTACTGTAACATTATTTAGTACTGTAATTGACTGTTCATTAAGTATGGTCTCTCTGTTGTCATTATTTTTATTTATTTTTTTTACTTTGTAGAACCCAAAGCATTCAATTCCTCAACACCTCAGTACATTCAGTTTATTTTTCTCGCATCAAATCAGAATTCTGTTGAGGCAGCGCTCACTCTGTAGTACATCATTCAGAAATTGGTAGTTTGTGTCAAATACTGTTAATGTCATTATTTTGGAGAATCTTTCATTTCTCATCTTAAAATTCGAGAATCTTGTAAACAATTTGGCAAAACCCCATTATCACAATGCCTTACCATCTTGATGTTGGGATGGTAGAAATGGGAGAGTTAATGGAAAATTTCTGCCAGGGTCATGGATGTACAGTATTCTAGATATTTATTTACTGTAATATTTTTCTGAAAGGTGGATTTTTTCTCCCTCCCTCCCTCCCTCTTAAGTTAGGCTGAAGGTATTTTTTTTTCCATGTTACATCTCGTTAGCATCCACAGATGAATTATATCAACCTAATAGGTAGTGGGATATATGTACTAGGACTATGAACTAGTACTTACTATAATGTGCATGGGTGAAAAGTGCAGGCAGCAGCATGAATTTGAGCAGTAGGAAACCAAAGATGTTTCTGATTACAACAGTCTAGTCATAGGTAGGTATTCTCCAAAACTGCATGTTATTATCTAGGCAAGCATTATAAAATGGGTCATAAAGGAACATATACTTCTCATTAGTACGAGCTTTCACATATTTTGCTAAAGACTCTTGCAATATAAAGCATAAAATTAAATAACTGTGACTAAGAATCATACCAATCTTTTCTCTTAAGTTTTCAAAAGAATAAAGTCCTCTTCTATAGATTCTGGTACTGCCAAAATATCTTGCATGGTTGACAATATAAATGGCTGATAACTTTGTAACTTTGGAATTAATAGTTTTTGCAGAAGAGCAATGTGTTTAATCTAAAGTGATTGTTGAAGACTGAGACATTCCACTGAGGAATGTAATTGAGAAACTTAGAACTTACCCATCAGGATTGTACATGGCCAGATTCTATGGTGTAAGAGGAATTTCAAGGGCGTCATCACTTCGGCACTGTCCACGGTTTGAGTCACTTGTATCTAGCATGATTGGAATGCACTTTGACTGTTACTGTTCTGTTTGTTTCTTTTCTCTCTTGGTTTCATAGTTTGGAATAACACTAGTTATTCCTGAGGTGCTCTGGTCTTATGTCACCAACAAGTATAGTTCACTTATTTCTATATGCCAGGGAAGCATTAAAACTTTATAAGAGAAGAACAAGCTGAAATTCAGGTAAATATAAGCACCTGCTTTCCTTATTTTATTATTAAGGTCAATATATTCATATTTATTTTCAACAGAATCAATTAAGGAAATCTCCTAAATGCTGTTGAAAGAAAGCAAGTGACAGAGAGTGAACATTTATTATACACATAATCCTGAATGGCTAATTCGTGATTAGGACCTATTTAAGATTTCTTTGAATTATAAAATAGGGATTATAAAAAAATATTTGTGCATGAGGATATCGGTGTTTTCTTGGTGATAATATAAATATACCCAAAACAGCAGTGCCATGTTACTAGCTTAATTTTCATTTAAAGCTAAGCTGTCGGCATCTTCGTACTCTGGATTGTAGGTAAAACAGTGATGTTAAAAAATTTGTATTATTATGCTCCATTTTTTAAAGATAGACATGGCAAATAACTTTCATATTTTGCCTTTCATTGTTAAAAAAAGAGTTTATGCTTCAAGTCTTCTAAATCCAGTGAATATTTTCTTCTTATAAGACACTTGGTAAGGTTTCACACATTAAGAATTTATAAATTCGTTTTAACTTTGTTCTTATACCAATGGCTGTCTAGTTTGTGCTAAAAAAAATACAACACGGAGTACTGGAGATACTGTAGCTGTTAAAGTCATTTTACATTCATTCCTCACACACTGTGTGTAAAGTCAGAACTTACCAACATCTTTGATAAGGGCAATCCTAATCTGGAACTTAAATATAATGGCAGCTTTATGTGTCCTGTGTGTAACTACATCAGGAAGTATAGATAGCCTTATCAGAGGTTAATACTAAGTAATTACAGCACCTTGAACTTTCAGGAAACAAATTGTCACCTCAGGTACAAAGTTTAATCATAAATTATGGATTTACAAATTTAATTTCTATGGTTATTGCAGCAAAAGAGAAAAGGTATTCATGTAAGATCACCTGAAATGCACTAACTCTTTATCATGTCATCATCCAGCATTCTGGAATAGTAATGTCCTTATCCTTTAAGAAAATTACTACTTAAGCACATTGTTGAACATATTAGTGAAATACAGTACAGTATACAGTTCCAAGAAATTCTATATACATGAGTTTACATTAAGTTTAAGTTTAGTTCTTCATTTTACATACAAATATTTTTGTGATTTTCATTGTGGATATATAATGCTGTGGGTGTTGTGTCCCTGAGTAAACCTTCAGTTAGTTAAAGCAAGAGGACAATCATGTAAAGTCACCTGATCATTCTCAAACTGAAGCTTTCAATTTAACCATCCTTTCAACTTTACATTTTAGTGTTACATGAAACTTGTTCAGCTTGTTAATAATTCCTTCATCTTTTGTGGTAATATTTAAAAATTTCCAAATCAATGATACTCTTTGGCACATATAAAAGTCTCACAATATTTCAGTAATTTCCTTCCAATTCTCTCTGGTTTGTTTGTGCATCTAGGGTCACCTTAATATTCTGTAAATTTTCATTTCACAACCTCAACACATGGCTATTGGTCTTGTGGGCTCTCATGAACTCCTATACTTTATTCATTATTTCTGAAACATCCCTAGACTGGAAGAAAGACTCTGGGATACTTAAAGTCTCCAAAAGATCATTGATTGATATGACTATGAATGAAGGTGGTACTCAAAGCAGCAACTTTCCTCTTGCAGTGAAGGCTACCAAGAGCACAGAGGAGATGCGCAAACTCCTGGACAAGTAAGTCCCTGAGAGTAGCTTCAAAATCAGCTGTGTTTTAGTCTAACAAAGCTACAGGCCTGAGCTCACTTTCTTGATTTAACCAACTTTTCTCTAGGTATTTCACGGGAGGACTAACAGTGTTTTGGGTTTATTCACGTGGACAAAAATCATTGCTTTATATATATACTATATATTTTTTTTTTTTTTGCTTTGTTCATACTTATGAGTTCATTAAGTTCCTTAATTTGAAACTCACTTTTTTATATTAACATTTACATAAACTATACAGAAAGATTGTACAGTATGCACAGTTCTTCAAACATTATATGTCTCACCACACTTTCAGATGTACGGTATGAATGGTAGGTTCTTTAAAGTAAAAAATTAAATGGCAGCCGCCTTTTTAATAACTGAGAGTGAGCCAGAGCCCATCTTGGTATATAATAATGAATTGGCACAATTTGAGTACTGACATGGTTGATTTACATCCAATATCTGAGTTATCAGTGTCTAGTCAAGCAGCATCTTAAGTATTTTATGTCATTGAAAATTTTTTTTATTTTTTATTGTTACATGTATGTGTGCATGTGTGTGTGTATTTACATTCATACATACACTCACTTATTTGTCTTACATAAGATTCATTGAGGAAGTCTTATAGCATTGATCATAAAGACTGTTTGACTGAATCCCTGATAATCAGTGCATTGGTGTATTGCATAATTATACTCATGTACTTTAGAGTCTTATGTAGTGATTCCATTTTGTAATTTGTAGTTAAAACACATGAGAAGAAGAAAGACTGACCTGCATGAGTGATGGATTGGTAATGTCTTTCCCAAGGATTTTAACAAATATCTAACATTGCAATATTTTACTTTTCACGAGGAAACTGGTTAAGAGCTGTAAGTTTTTTCTGGAACAAACCTATAGCTGATTTCATCATGCTTCATGGATCTCATATTGCTGTTTAATAGCAATAGCCAACTTTGAAGCTTTAGTTTGTTTAGAAAGTCAAAGAGAAAGATTTGCTTTTGATGGTGTATGACTGCTTATTTCAGTCTCTGCCTTACATTCTCTGAGACACTTCTACTAAAAGTTTAAAACTTTGCAGGTACTGTAATGGGATGCTTTAAAATCCTGTAGGTACTGAAATAACATTGATGGGCATCACTAAGTGTCTAAGAGAATTTGAGATAGATTTTTTGCTAGAAAAACCCAAGTTCACCGAAGTTAGTATTGCCCAGACTATGAAATACTGTATAAAGGAACCCCAGTTGGATAAACATTTAATATATATGTCAATTACATATTCTTAGAAATGTTTGAATCTAAACACTCTATGGCCTAAATTCTTCAACAAATTAAAATAGATTTACAAATAATTAATCAGCCAACAATTATTTCCCAAAATGGCACTACATTACTTATACTGTGCACTGATAATTTAGGTACTGTACAGTATATAATAATTAGTTTGAAATACTATCAGAATCTTTTGATGTTCTGAATTAAGGCCTATGAGTGGTGATACTGGAGCATCTCCCTATAGTATCAAAAGACTTAATTTATGTAATTGAGTAGATTATGTTGATTTGGTGCATGACTTACTGGTGTGGGGTATTTGGTGCTTTGTACTATATTTTTATTTATTGCATGGTATGCATGCTAATAATTTTTTTTCTTCATTACTGTTACACAGTATTGATTTAGACAGACAGTAATGTGCTTCAGGAAATGAACTATGGAGTAATTTTCCATTATCATTATTTTTCCAACACAAAGCAATTTCTTGTTAACCCTTTCACAGCGGGAGGTTACCCTAAGCTAAATAAAATGGCCTGGCGGTAGCCAGAATAAAATGGCAAGTGCGTGACACGTGGTGAAAGGGTTAATATTGCATCCCAGTAATTGTGTTGTCCTAGAGTATAGTTTAAATACTGTACCTTGTGGTACAGTATGTTTGTCATGGTGTGTGTATTTAACATAGGTATGAGGTTGTTAATGAGTTCTTTAAGGTAACTGTGTAAAAATAAGTTTTCTGTGTTTCAAAATCACACCCAAAAAGAAAGAATTTTATTGTATTCAAATCTTCAAAAGCAAGAATACTAGTCATTCCAGAAAAGTCAAGAATCTACAAGGGAAAGGATTTTTTAGGTAGAGTATTCAGTACATGGTAACTGAAAATTATATGTATGGAAATACTGTACATTTAATTTTCATATAAAACTGACAGCCTATGAGTTGAAAATGTTCATTTGAAGTTTGTTCATATTTTACAGTATATTTATTAGAGGATCATTAAGTTCTGATACTTTGTGTAGACTTCAGCCATTAGAGCCACTTTATTGAAAATTTAAGAAGCCCACAGCCAATGTTATTTGTTGTGTTTCAGTTTCACCTTAACACATAAATATAAGAAAATTCATGGAAAAGGAAGTGTGCTTGTTAGTAAATTGGAAGTAAAGGTTTAAAATATTAGTGATATGAGATAGAATTGTAATACTGTACAGTACAATAACAGGGGATTTAAAGCTGCTGTAACATGTACCTTAAGAATAATTGACCAGCATGATAGTGAACAATTTCATATTTAATAAAGGTGAGCAAGGTGAGGTGGGGTTAGGTTAGATATAATTTCCCCAGTGTAATATTCAAGATGATTGTATTTATAACTTTAAATATATGTAAGGACAAGGTAAACTGTTGAATGTAAATTTGGAACAGTAGGTATTGTTTAAAGTGTACAGATGTACATCATTAATTCTTATGATGCAAGTTTTTATGTAGAAAACATTAGTTTAGGCCAGTTTGTGTTTATATTATATTAATTAAGGCTAAAGTAAAACACATCCTCAACCAGTGTAAAATAATGTTCTTTAGAAATATGAAAATACAATAACTCCCATGATTTCAAAACTTATCTCATGAATAGATTTGTATTTAACTTGGAGCATCATTGGGTTGAAAGTTGTTGACATTATAATTGTTTTTAAATTCTTATTATCAGAAACATGCTGCATTATATATATTTAATTTTTAGTTTTATTACATGGCTAGTTAGTAGTCATTTACCACCAAATACCAGAAACATTATTTTAAATTTACTCAATACACTCTTTACAGTACAATTCTTTAAGTCTTACACACAGGCATATAAAAAAATCCTGGTGACACCCATACTTCATTTATTCTCTAAGTTTTTTTCTGACTGACACATTTTCAGAATATAATCATTAACTATTTTTTCACAAATTATCTTTGTTGTAGCAGATATAAATGAGAACACTAATATAATGACCCTCTCAAAATCTTCTTTAAATACATGAACTGTTATACGAATAAATAATTCTCATTTAAAATTTTTCAGAAATGAAGCAGCAGCCCACATTCAAAATGGAGGCTTAAGGATGGTGAGTGATGAGATGAACGTGTGAGGTCCTCCATACCCCGTTGCAGGACCTCCTCAACCCCCGTGCCATACAAGGCAACCTGGTTACCACCCCACGTCACTAACCACTGATCGTTGATACTGAACACCCCTGTTGAACACAGATACTCGACACTACACAAGATATACTAAACAAGAATATATTATCGAAAATTACAAGAAGAATCTGGCAACCCCTGGATGCAACACTACTGAAATAAAAGCACAGAGGTAATGGATGGCCTATGGCTGAGTTCATACAGATGACATGATACAAAAGGAATTCAAGACAAAAAGAATTCAGCAATTAAGCAATGAAAAATCTTTATGCACCCCTTACGAAGTTGATGCTCTCTACGTAAGATTAGATTTGAAGGCCTGAAAGTATAAAACTGTCTAGAGTTGACAAGATGAAGAAAACCTTAGCAGTGAAAGAAAGGCATATCTTGGCTAGTTCTTTATGTGTTCATAGGGGTGCCCCAATTCTTCTTTGTTGTTACTGCGTCACATCCCCCCTCCCCCCCGCTCATGAGATTAATTAACCTGCTGCGGACTCCATTGTTGTACTCCCTCATTACCACCGCAAGCCCACGCTGATTGACGTTTATGCTTTGAGTGTTTCTTGCAGTGTTGTGTATCACATAATGGTAGCAGTATTCTTTCTCTGCCCTGTGCTCAGTTTGAAATCTGAATATGAAAGCAAGTGCTTCTGTTGTAGTGTTTTTGCACCGGTATTTTGAGGGCCACACCGTCAATAATGCATTTATTATGCAGTAAATCCCTACCCATAGCAGTTAATGGATTGTCTTCTGTGGCGATTGGACCATAAGTGCTGTGCGATAGTATGAAATGAACTAAGTATTGCTGTGTGAATCATCCATGACGGTGCTACTTGGAAGTGACTCTCGACTTGTTTGGTGTTCTACGTACTTTGTGATACGACCCAAGTCTAGTCAAGGGCGGGGGACAAAACTGTGTATGTTTGCCTGAACCTTTGTGACGCATATGTAACCAGTAAGCTCAGTTTTACTATTTTTTACGAATTTACCAGCAAGTAGTCCAATTGAGGAGTGAGACAGAGAGACTGGCAAGAAAAAGGGATATAATCTGGGAGAAGGAGTCATTTACATTTAGCTAAAATGCAGAGTCAACTTCTAGATCATGGTTGTTCAGTGATGCTTGGCTACAGGGGTACATATACTGAGATTCTGCATTTATTCACCTTTAATTATATTACATATGATAACCAAGACCATGACATGATTTTAATGATATATTAATCACCCAGGTGCATCCCTGTTAGTGCACAAACCAAATGCCATCTCCCTGTCTGCTCACTTGCCGCAGCGTTCCTAGGTGTTGCTTAATTTCCGCAGCTTGCAAGACAATATGTGACTCAACCAGCAATTTTGGATCTTACTCAGGGCTACATTATGGCACATTTTATGCTTGCTATAAAGGAAAGTTTTATTAAAAGCTAAAAATGAGGACAAAATTGCTGGGTATCACAATATCCACATATAAAATGTATTGTAAGGCATCTTGCTAGGTAATATTTTATTTGTATATTGAATTCATCAGTCTTAGGAACAAGTTGGCGAACTCTCATTGCCAATTTATCAGTTTCTACTTAAAGCTGTTTCCATTGTAAACATTTCTTACGAATATAAGACAAAATGTTGACGTGTAAGTATGTGTGCATTGCTTCTTCATAGTGTTAGAACTGTGTGAAAGTGGATATTATATTATGATAGGTAATAAGTCGTTGCAGAACTGTTGTACTTCTATGATACATATTGGCAGATTTCTCATGCAGGTGTCCGACAATAGCTGTAACCCTCAAGTCCTTGGAGCAATGTTTTGGAAGTCTGAGAAAGTTTACAGTTTCAAACAGATTTATGTTAGGGTTCTGTTCCAAGATATATGAAAGTACTTGTGTTGTGGTTATGACTTATTTAAAGTCATAAGCTCAGTACAAAAAGTTAATGTTGCACGATACCTTGAACCTGCATAACATCAGTTTTTAACTAGTGTTGATCTCATTCGACTGAAACCTGCCGATATCTTCCATAAGCTCAAGTGTAATACATGTAGTTTCTGATAAATGTTGCCAGTGTAATTTATGCCTGTCCTAAACAATTATTCAAATATTGATTTGCAATTTACTGGTAATGGAAATACTGAAGTGCATTACCACCAGAATTGTAGAGAAGTCATGCTTTCTATCTATGCATATCTATAATTTTATCCCCAAAATGATCAGAAAATAAATTCCCCAAAAAGTATAAAATGCTCAAACTGTTTGAGTAGATAAATGAATGCTTTTTCTACTGCTTTTAGGTAGGATTAATTAATGTTGAAAACTCAGTATTAGGCAATATTGACATACATGCAAGGCATTTAAAGCACATTTTCTTGGATTTTCATTCTACTGACAATTTTTGTAATGTATGTTAAGCATTGTGTCTGTCTGTTACTGATTTGTTTGTACCATTTCTATACACATAAGATATGTGTGATTTAAGCTTCATAGTAGAGAGCGCTTGTCGTTATCTTGACCAGGGAGGGTGGGTGCTAATGGGAGGGGGACACTATGTGGCATCAAATTCCATCTTGGCCAAAGACCAACTATAGGCTCTTCATTAATATATCAGCTGAAAATAATAAGGTGCAGCGAGACTTAGTTTTGTTACTCATTCAATAGTATCTCGGTGAAATGATATATTTTTCTTCGAGACCAATTATGTAACATGGTTAAGATCATATACAATTTATTCTTTAAAGCATGATGAGCCTTTGAAAATGAGAATGATGACTCCATAGTGAAATGATACATACTCAGAAAAATCATTAAAATGATACATTATACAAACAGTGGACATAGTGGACAACTACTGTAAATTCAAAATGACCGATGACATCTCATTCCTAAATCTGGCAGTTTTTTAGGGGGATAAACTTGTCCAGATCCAGGAATGATCACACCATAGGTGAAGGCTTCAGTTACTTTGAAATTACATCATGTGATCAGTATACTGTACTTTCTGACCATTTATAAGGAATCTTCCTTTCAGAATGAATAGTATTGAAATATCGAACAAAATCATAAACAACAAATGTAAATGAGATGAAAAACTGCACACTATAGCAGTTGTTTAGGAGAGAAGAGAATCTCACAGTATAACAATAAACAGAGTCCACTCATACTGTATTATGAGGGAACCTTTGGGGAATTCCATTTGACAATGATGTCCCCCTGCCCAGTAGTTTTGTCTTTCCCTGTAGATTAGAATTACACAGCCATGGTTTCCTTCAGTAATGTCAATGTAACCACACATTAAAGGTTATTGATACTTAAACACTGAGATTGATAGATGTTTAATTATACTGTAGCGGGTAGGAGAACTTAAAGTATTACCACTGCATGAATTGTACCACATTGACATTATATAGCCAAGTTTTCAATGGTAAACATAATATTTGTTTGTTTCATACAACACAGTGCTCTTACTGGTTGAGCAACGTAGTGTGTGACTGTTAGCTGATCAAGGGGTGACATTATGAATACAAGAAGTATGAATAATCAGCTAGAAATTGTGGTCCCATGATATTGCTCAGTAAGGTTCATTCATCCTATGTTTTATATAGGAATATTGGCTTTCACAAAGCAACATCTGAGACACACAATCATTGATTATGTCACTTGTTTACCAGCGAGAATCCGTTATAAGCATTTAAACATTCTCCATGTACTCTAACAGCTGTGTTGCTTGATTATGTCAGAAGTTACAAATGGTCAGGGTTTGTGAGCCTGAGTGCTTTATTGCCTAGGTTTTTGAAATACTAGTGTAAGTACCACATTGCATATTCTTTCAATGCAAAGAATCTGCATTTATAAATGTATTTATAAATAATAATGTATTTATAAATACTAATCTGTCATAGAAGATACAGCTATTGTGAAGATGGGCAAATGAGCATCCAGCTCTCGAATCTTGTGCAATTGAAATTTCTAGATTCTGTTTCTCGTATAGTTTTGTGAAATTGTGTTTGCCTGTGTTATCATGGGCTTTAAATATCCAAATCTGCCTAAAGGAAGAAAGATGGTGTGAGAATCAGAAATAAAATTATGTATAATTTTTAATATAAAGAAATTGTATAGCAGTGCATGCACTTGTGGTTGTACTTTCCAAGTGAAAGATGCTTAATGATGTAAGAGTTGTATGGACTGCAGAAAAGTGTCAGGGTATTGTTTTCAACGAAATTGTAGAATATTGGGAACATGTCAAGTTGTAGAGTGAATGTCTATTAGTGTTGCCAAAACTAATGAACTTGACCATGAATTTATTGTATTATGCCTTGCTTGGAAGAGTTGAGAATTAGTGGATTGTATTATTTTACTGCACTTGCAAGAATAATCTTATAATAGTAAGTAGAAGAGTTAGATTGGATAGAACTGATATATTTTAATTAGGCCATTGAAAATTTTTTAAGAAGAATGTATTCATGATTATTACTGATATTACAAAACCCCGTAAACTCAAGGTCAGCTGGTAAACCCCCAGTACAACAGGGTGAATCTCACATATGAGTGAAATGTTTATCTTATGATAATATTCAAGGCTAGGCTTGATAATACTGTACTATAAATGGTGAATGTGGAGAATGTGAAAAAATAAAACTAAAATTAAGAGACTCTTCCTGAGGGCAGATTACAAGTGTTATAAGACAGTTCTGGTTATTTTTCACTTTTCACAATGAGTAGGTACTTGAAAATGATGGCTCTTTAGTGCCTCTACAATTAGCAAATTACCCAATTCAGGGACAAAGTATCGGTTAACCAGAACCTCTCATCGCACTTGTAATTTGTGTTGCGACAAGGGAGTTTGCGCCTTACTGGGTTACTAATTAAGGCTCAACATCGCTCGTCACTTCACATTTTCTACCAAATATAGTGTAAACAATAATGTATCATGAATAAACCATGAGAAATATTTGGCTTTCATTATCCTTATGATAATGATAGTCGTCATATTATAACTTGAAGCTGGAATTCAGTAACAAAAGGATGCATTCCTGAAGAAGAAACAGTTCACTGAATCAGTGATAAAGGGGTCATTTTATATATATATATATACACATACATACTCTGGTAATATTCACTCTTCAGCAGCCATGTGATCTGTAGTTTGTGTGTATACAAAGTGATATAAAGACAATGAGGGAGGTCCAGCAGTACTGACGTCATTTGCAACACAGTGGAGGTTGAAGAGGTTTGCATTGTGTGAGACGTGGCAGTTGGGGAGTTTCCTGTCCTCGTACTTCAAGCTCTCCTTGTTTACCTCACTGAAGGAAAGTGAAATGAGGTCATGAAAAAGAAAATCATACAGGAACTTCATCAGTGAATGAAAAACGACTATGTGTCAATGGCCGTTTGAAACTCTCTTGGAAAGAGCTGCAAGGACCCATCCAGTCACTTCAGACTAGGAAGACTGTTGACCTGGGATTTATCACCTGATTACTGGATAAGTCTCCCTATGAATTACCATTAAGTTTTGGTCCACACACTATCATGCAGACGTGCTGCATAATCAAGTTTATAATGTTTGCCATGCATGCAATATGAGAAAAAGCCTGTGAAAGGCTTTAAATGACAAGTGCATATATGGGTTAGAAGTGTGGACGGACACTTTCAGTAGATATCAGAAAGAGGTTGAAGCTCTTTGAAATGTGGTGTTATAGGCTACAGTACATGTAAATACAGCATCTTGTGGTGGTCAAGGTCTGCTAATGCATCAAAGAAAATGGAACCTCTCACCAGTGCTCCCACTTTTAGGGAAATTAGCCTATTTTAGGGTAATCAGGATCTTGTTAGGGTAGAGTTTAGGGTAATATATTTTCAGTGTTGTACGTTGACGCCGTTAAATTAACGCTGGCATCATAAATTTTTTGGGCAGGTGACGCTACAGGTGACGCAGTCAACTTTTCACCCGAGCGGAGGGTCAAGCGTCAATTTGTTCATCAACTTCTAAATTTTCTATTTTTCCAAGTTCAATTTTCAATTATATTGTTATAAAGATGACCGACAAGGCCATGAGGGAGTTGTTCGTCAAATACAACACCCCCATCCCCTCTAGTGCTGCCATGGAGCGCATGTTCTCCATGGGCAAGGACGTCTTGAGGCCCAAGCGCAGCAGAATGAGCGACAAGCATTTTGAGATACACGTACTAGTATTCTTGCGGGGGAACAAATGAATAATAAAAATGATGTAATATAAATCATAACAAATGATTAAAAATGAATGAATATTTTTTTATTTTCCATGTTACTCCCATACACAGAAGAATACGCATTTCAGGGCTGCATATGTACATCACTGAAAACTCGCTGACACTAACGGCGCCAATTTATGAAATCATTTATGGCGACGCTGACGGCATCAAATTTCTTGGTCATTTACGCTGATGCTGGAAGCGCCAGTTTTTTTCGTTGCCGTGAACAACACTGTATATTTTTTAGGGTAAGCGGGGGATCGAAAGTCTTCCAAGTATTAGATAATCTATCCATCCATGGCTTCAATGGGCTGTAGAGGCAGTGGAGCAGACAGAGGTGGCATAGTCTACCAGTATTAGTAAGCGACATCCTGCTTCCAATGCTTTCAAGAATAACCTGGTAGCTATTCGTGATATTTATCAAGGTGTCTCCGTGACTATGCATATGCTGAAGATGCAGGCTAATCCAGCAAAGATTGAGAAGTTTTACATTTCCTGACTGGCAAATTGAAGAAAGATTTCAGTTTAATGACCTACTTTTTGATATTACAGTATTGCATGTATAGTTCTTAACAATGCTTCCAATGCTGTGTGTGAGGGGCCTAGTGTTCTGTGTGTGTGTGAGGGGCCTAGTGGTCTGTGTGTGTGAGGGGCCTAGTGGTGTGTGTGTGTGAGGGGCCTAGTGGTGTGTGTGTGGGGAGCCCTGGTGGTCTGTGTGAGGGGCCTGGTGGTCTGTGTGTGTGGGGGCCTGGTGGTGTGTGTGTGAGGGGGCCCTAGTGGTGTGTGTGTGTGGGGGGCCTAGTGGTGTGTGTGTGAGGGGCCTAGTGGGTGTGTGTGTGTGGGGGGGCCCTGGTGGTCTGTGTGTGTGGGGGCCTAGTGGTCTGTGTGTGTGGGGGCCTAGTGGTGTGTGTGTGTGTGGGGCCCTGGTGGTCTGTGTGTGTGGGGGCCCTGAGTGGTGTGTGTGTGTGGGGGCCTAGTGGTCTGTGTGTGTGGGGGGCCTGGTGGTGTGTGTGTGTGTGAGGGGCCCTGGTGGTCTGTGTGTGTGTGGGGGCCCTAGTGGTGTGTGTGTGTGAGGGGGCCTAGTGGTGTGTGTGTGTGAGGGGCCTAGTGGTGTGTGTGTGTGAGGCCTAGTGGTGTGTGTGTGGGCCCTGGTGGTGTGTGTGTGTGTGAGGGGCCTAGTGGTTGTGTGTGTGGGGGCCCTGGTGGTCTTGTGTGTGGGGGCCTGGTGGTGTGTGTGTGTGTGGGGGCCTAGTGGTCTGTGTGTGTGAGGGGGGCCTAGTGGTCTGTGTGTGTGGGGGCCCTGGTGGTCTGTGTGTGTGGGGGCAGTGGTCTGTGTGGGGGGCCTAGTGGTGTGTGTGTGTGTGAGGGGGCCTAGTGGTGTGTGTGTGTGGGGGCCTAGTGGTGTGTGTGTGTGTGGGGGGCCTGGTGGTCTGTGTGTGGGGCCTAGTGGTCTGTGTGTGAGGGGCTAGTGGTCTGTGTGTGTGTGTGGGGCCTAGTGGTCTGTGTGTGTGTGGGGGCCTAGTGGTGTGTGTGTGTGTGGGGGCTAGTGGTGTGTGTGTGTGTGGGGGCCTAAGGCTTGTGGAGAGCCTAGTGGTCGGCTGGTGTGTGTGTGTGTGTGAGGGGCCTAGTGGTGTGTGTTGTGAGGGCCTGAGTGGTGTGTGTGTGAGGGGCCTGGTGGTGTGTGTGTGGGGGCCTAGTGGTGTGTGTGTGTGGGGGGCCTAGTGGTCTGTGTGTGTGTGGGGGCCTAGTGGTGTGTGTGTGTGGGGCCTGGTGGTCTGTGTGTGGGGCTAGTGGGTGTGTGTGTGGGGGCCTAGTGGTGTGTGTGTGTGGGGGGCCCTGAGTGGTGTGTGTGTGTGGGGGCCTAGTGGTGTGTGTGTGTGGGGGCCTAGTGGTGTGTGTGTGAGGGGCCTAGTGGTGTGTGTGTGTGTGGGGGGCCTGGTGGTGTGTGTGTGGGGGCCTAGTGGTGTGTGTGTGTGTGAGGGGCCCTGGTCTGTGTGTGTGAGGGGCCTGGTGGTGTGTGTGTGTGAGGGGCCTGGTGGTCTGTGTGTGTGAGGGCCTAGTGGTGTGTGTGTGTGGGGGCCTAGTGGTCTGTGTGTGTGGGGGCCCTGTGGTGTGTGTGTGTGGGGGCCTGGTGGTCTGTGTGTGGGGGCCCTAGTGGTGTGTGTGTGGGGGGGCCCTAGTGGTCTGTGTGTGTGGGGGCCCTGTGGTCTGTGTGTGTGGGGGCCCTGGTGGGTGTGTGTGTGTGGGGGGCCTGGTGGTCTGTGTGTGTGGGGCCTAGTGGTGTGTGTGTGGGGGCCTAGTGGTCTGTGTGTGTGAGGGGCCCTGGTGGTGTGTGTGTGTGTGGGGGCCTGGTGGTCTGTGTGTGTGAGGGGGCCTGGTGGTGTGTGTGTGTGTGTGGGGGCCTGGTGGTCTGTGTGTGAGGGGCCCTAGTGGTGTGTGTGTGTGTGGGGGCCTAGTGGTGTGTGTGTGTGGGCAGCCTGGTGTGTGTGTGGGGGCTAGTGGTCTGTGTGTGAGGGCCCTGGTGGTGTGTGTGTGTGGGGCTAGTGGTGTGTGTGTGTGGGGGCCTAGTGGTCTGTGTGTGTGAGGGCCTAGTGGTCTGTGTGTGTGGAGGCCTAGTGGTCTGTGTGTGTGTGTGAGGGGCCTAGTGGTCTGTGTGGGGGGGCCTAGTGGTGTGTGTGTGAGGGGGCCTGGTGGTCTGTGTGTGTGAGGCCTAGTGGTCTGTGTGTGTGGGGGCCCGTGTGGTCTGTGTGTGTGTGTGTGGGGGGCCCTGGTGGGTCTGTGTTGTGAGGGCCTAGTGGTGTGTGTGTGTGGGGGCCTAGTGGTGTGTGTGTGTGGGGGCCTAGTGGTCTGTGTGTGAGGGGGCTGGTGTGTGTGTGTGTGGGGGCCTAGGGGTCTGTGTGTGTGAGGGGCCTGGTGGTGTGTGTGTGTGGGGGGCCTAGTGGTTGTGTGTGTGGGGGCCCTAGTGGTGTGTGTGTGTGTGAGCCTAGTGGTGTGTGTGTGAGTGGGGGCCCTGTGGTCTGTGTGTGTGAGGGGCCTGGTGGTGTGTGTGTGTGGGGCCGGTGGTCTGTGTGTGGGGCCTAGTGGGTGTGTGTGTGTGGGGGGGCCTAGTGGTGTGTGTGTGTGGGGGCCTAGTGGTGTGTGTGTGGGGGCCTGGTGGTGTGTGTGTGTGGGGGCCTGGTGGTGTGTGTGTGTGGGGGCCTAGTGGTGTGTGTGTGGGGGCTGGTGGTGTGTGTGAGGGGCCCTGGTGGTGTGTGTGTGTGGGGGCTAGTGGTGTGTGTGGGGCCCCAGGTGGTGGCTGTGTGTGTGGGGGCCCTGGTGGTCTGTGTGGGGGCCTAGTGGTCTGTGTGTGTGTGGGGGCCTAGTGGGTCTGTGTGTGTGGGGGCCCTGGTGGTCTGTGTGTGTGGGGGGGCCCTGGTGGTCTGTGTGTGAGGGACCCTGGTGGTCTGTGTGTGTGTGAGGGGGCCTAGTGGTCTGTGTGTGGGGGCCTGAGTGGTCTGTGTGTGTGGGGCCTGGTGGTGTGTGTGGGGGCTGTGGTCTGTGTGTGTGGGGCCTAGTGGTCTGTGTGTGTGTGGGGGCCTGGTGGTCTGTGTGTGTGGGGGCCCAGTGGTCTGTGTGTGGGGGGCCTAGTGGTGTGTGTGTGTGGGGGGCCTAGTGGTCTGTGTGTGTGAGGGGCCTTGTGTATGTGTGTGGGGGGCCTAGTGGGTGTGTGTGTGTGAGGGGC